TTTGTCGGACGTCAGACAAGCCCAATCAGCAGGATTCGTAGTGCAGCCAGTTGCCGGCAAGAGCATAGGAAATCGCCCTACGACGCTCCAGGCAACGCTATGTACACAGGCAGTTCCGCCGTTGTCCTGCAGAGTGAAAGTAATCGTTGCAATGGTTGCAATAATCACGCGTCTCTAGCTTCTTTATCTCGCCGTTTCGAGTGACGAAAGTGGTATATTCTCTGCGAATGCGGACAACGATGCCAAATGCACGGAGGCATTTCGCGGACCACTTGATCGTGGGAACTGTCTTTAATTGGCCCTACCTGACAGCAAATGACTCCGACCGCGTTGGTATCTGGCGTCTTGGTCGCTTATGTGCTCTTTCACTCTTTCTGACTAGTCTCTCGTAAGAAATCCCAGCGAATCTCCGCCTCGCACTTGGCGTCAGCTGCAACGAGGAAGCCTTAGTGAGTACGTTTCGACGTTTCGTCAGCTTTTTACCCGGGGTTAAATCACCTAGCCCATACACTTTTCCTTTCAACCTCACCACATGAAAAATGCGCTTCAGGTGGTCAGCATTGGGACGTCATTCTTTCCATTAGCTTTTTTCCCTTAGCAAAATTGCCACATTTGACGAAAATGGCCTCCTGTTGTAATTGATAATTGCTCGGATTGATGGCCTTTCACGCATACAAATAGAATGATCAGTGAAGCAAATTTGTGATTCTTTTTGCCACTAGACGAGTGCACCACTCAATCTTCTCAGGGGTTCAGCCTCGGGATGAGAGGAATGGCGGTGTCAGTACAATCACCTAAGATTTCCTGCTCTGGTGCGACACACCCTTCACCATCCCACCTACTTTCCTGAACTCTCCGAACTTCCCACAACTTATCGCAGTTTTCCGAGAATTGTCGCATTCTCTCCCTCTCCCTTCTCTCTCTCCCCTCAAATGGTCCGCGAAATGCCTCCGTGCATTTGGCATCGTTGTCCGCATTCGCAGAGAATATACCACTTTCGTCACTCGAAACGGCGAGATAAAGAAGCTAGAGACGCGTGATTATTGCAACCATTGCAACCACGATTACTTTCACTCTGCAAGACAACAGCTTACAAGCGGAATTTGTGTACATAGTGTTGCCTGGTGTGTCGTAGGACCATTTCCTCTTGCCGGGAATCGATTGCACGCCGAATCCTGTTGATTAAGCTTGTCTGACGTCCGACGAACTCATCCAAGGCGCCAACCTCAGCGGTGGGGGTCTCTGTTCACGGCACGGCGTTCCCATTTTCTTCATTTCTTTCTCCGCTGGGGAGTTTCTTTCGGGCTATTGGTTCATGATTGAGCCCCTACCCGTAAAACTTGATCGCGGGAATTGTTTTCTTCAAACTGTCTCAAAGAGCTAGTAATGTGGTACAGCCATACGTGACTGATAGGGCGTGGCACGGGGACATTGGTTGAAACGCAGTCAGCACAGATTTCCACCAGTTGTAACGGGGCTCAGGATGGCACCATTGTTGGAATAAGGCTGCGCTCCAATACGCGCCGCATCACCGGTGCCGTAGAGGGCGGGGATCGTGACTATACTCTTCGGCAACTTATTGTTGTAGGGAGGGTATCTAGCGCAGGTGAAACGGGAAAAATTAGGACAACTTAACAACCAGAAAAATGTCATCGCGGCTACGAGAATTTTTCATCAAAATCAGACACGAAGCCTACCGACCGAATACGCTCTCCCCCCACTCCATTCTCCCCATCGCACGAACGCAACCCCCACTCTCTCTTGGGGTTCTGGCATGAGATCCAGTCTTCCGGGTCCTCGTGTGTAATCCACAGAGATATACTGTAGTTTTCGCTGCAGATGCTGTGGCTTGCCTGGTGGCATAACGGATAGCGCACTCGCCCGGAAAGCGTGAGGTGCGGGTTCGACTCCCGCCTGGGGTCAGACTTTTGCCCATAACTCAGCATGCTTGTGGCAACTTTCGAACGCGAACTGCGGCGCAAAACTGCAATTATCATAATGAAACAAATTCTTTACAGCTTTCTTTCAGGGTCAAAATGCGAGGATTTGTACTCTGCTTCTTAGCCATTGGAGTGACGTCAGCAGCCTCCTCCACGGGTGGTCCCGGTTACCATGGACCAATTGAACCAAGCCATCAAAAAACTGCAAGCGAACTCGCGTGAGTATGCACTGGGACTAACTAACTAAAGTTTTGTTACTGATTCATAGGTGCATTCTGCACTGATCGCTTGGGCTGACTTGCTCAAGTCTTTCCGTCCTTGTTGAATCTCTCTCCAAAATGTTAACGGGGCGCGGCGAACCAAAATAACGCTGTTTTCAGTGTGTAGGAAGCGAGGTCTAGTGGGTACCAACTAGGGCTATGCTTATGTGGCTTACCTCTAAGGTTTTTGTTCTTTAAACTCGGACGTTGCAATCGACGTACAGTCCGGTTCCTTTTCGGAAAAAGGGGCGTTCCTAGTATGGTGAGCGCCCTGACGGCTCCTAAGTTTGTGTGGAATGGCCATCGCGCACTCTGTTCAGCGTCCCAGCGCTGAAACACACGCCAGCGCGCATCCCTACCACGTCTTCCATTTGCGACTCTCGCCTGCCGTAGGTATACTGTTTTCTTGATCCTATTAGCCTTTCGAGATGTGTTAGACGACGTTTTATTAAACTAACGTTTCGGCGAAAATCGCCTTCTTCGAAGTCCTGAAAGTCAAAAGCACATTATCGAAACACTTCGCCCAAAAACCAACATCACTTTACAAAAGAAACCAAGGTAGGGAATCAGGGAACGAAATCGTAACGGACCAACAACTCACCTCTTACTGATGTGGAGACTCTACCCCAGGGCACAGCATTCGATGGGGATTTTGGTCGAGCTTTTACGACCCCCCCTTTTTTCAGGGGCTGGTACGACCCCCCCCCATGCTCGTACGATGGCTGACATGCTGGCTGTGGTTTGTGTGGGTTTATACTGGGGGCTGAAAGTCTCGGCGAAAGTTGGGTCGGGGAGGGACGCTGGACGGAGGGGGATTGTAGCTAGGGCATGCGACGTACATCGTACGGGCGTACATAGTACCTATATTAAAACCCATGAAAGTGAACCACGTAACTCCTAGCCAGAAATACGACCCCCCTCCAACAACGACCAAATACGACCCCCCCTTTAAACGTCCGCAAAGCGAGAAAAATCAACTATAAAAATAAATTTTTCCCAGCCCAAATACGACCCCCCCCCTTTTGGCGCCAAATACGACCCCCATAGGAGCCCGCCAGCGGGCGACCTCTAGTCTAGAAGCCTGCAGCAGTGCTTTTTTATGAGTTCCAGCTCAGTTCTCGGGGGCAAGCGGCTCTAGGGACCATCAGGGCACTGTGAACTTGGTCAGCCTTGAAATGAAAGATTGAAAGGGCCATGGCCGGGTCACACGGCGCCAGGGGTAAAAGGACCAGAAAGGGACACACACAGATAAGGCCTTTTTACCACTTCTCGGCGGTGACCCGGTCTTCATTATTGTGTGTGTCCCCCTTTCTGGTCCTTTACCCCTGGCGGCGGTTGACCCGGCATGCCCAATTTCAAATTCTTTCCTTCAGGCCTTGACCCAATGTTCACAGTGCCATATGGTCCCTAGAGGCCCTTCGTGCTTAACGCGCGACCGAAGCGCTGCCGTCGCGAAGTCTGGACGCTGCCGAAGTGTCCCCTTTAGTAGGTGTGGTCGCTGTCATGATGGTAGATTAAAGTCAGTTGAACAGGATCCCATACGGCAGAGAATATTAGCAAACCAGTCAGCAGAGGTTAACAGAACAGTCGTGTCCATGAACGCAGTCAAATCAATCATACTGGACGAGTAGATCCACAAGGCAAAGGTGCTGAGCCACAACCCGCCCACTTTAGTGTCCAAATCCGCGCACGGGGGAAGCAATCCAAGTTCCAGTCGGGTGCGGAGTCTAGCCGCGTTTCAATATGACTCATTCAATCCGCCCTTCGTAGGATGATCCCAACAAAAGTTTTGTCGTGTCACGTAATCCGGCGGGCGAGAGTCCAGACGGATGAGCGAGTAGATAGCACGCCGGTGTGTATCAACATAGAGTCGATGTCAGAGAACACAGAGGCGGTTTGATAATCGCCCCACACTAGCATTCCATTTCACTCCGAAACGCAACCATCAAACCGCTTGCTAAGGCGGACATAGGACCCCCTCCGATGACTCTGCGTACATACTGATTTCAACTGGAAATCAATTGGAACCCGTTCCAATGCGGTACGCGTGCCGACGTTTGCTGTGCTGCTACCATAACTGCAGCATCGCAGCAAACAGTGGATCTCCTGACCCGCACCCAACCACTCTGACCTCAGAAAGAATTTCGCTGTTTTTTTTCAGAGTATGTTCCCGCCTTGTCGTCGCCGACCCGATCGTGCACTTCACAGAACAAGAAAAACAGCAACTCCTCAATTTCGTGAACAAATGCGCTAAGGGAGAAATCAATGTAACGAACAAGGAGCAACTACTGAGTAGCTTGCAGAAGGTTTATTTTTATTATGAAAGAAAAATCGGGAATATATACACCACGTTCACGGCACGTGGACATTGGGGATTACAAGTGGGAGCGGTACTTTATTGCTGGAAGAAAGGGATCGTAGCCTGAGAAACTTCTTGTGATAGTTGTTCTCACCTGTTTTTACCGCCCTATCCAACCGGCTGGGAAGTGCTAATTGGTAGGGAGGGGCGTTTGGCGTTGTCCTTTCCACACGCCCATGCAGTTTGCGACGCAGTCAAAATCCTTCATAACTTAGCTACTTTCCAAGAGCTGAATTTCGATGAATGATGGCGACCTCCGCTCCGGCGCCACTCCACCCCTCGCCACTCATTCCGCCCCTCTACAGCAGGTCTTTGCGAGGGGAAAAACTGGATTTTTTGTGTAACAAAGTGGTACGAAGGGCAAAGTCAGCGACATTGGTTGGACAGAGAAAGGCACAGAGAAAAGTGTTCTGCCAAAAATTGCTAGCGGCAGGACGATTTTTTGGGGGCCCTGCTGCTATGCTAGCTCACATACATTCACATTTCATACCTCAACGCTTGGGGAGGGTGTGTCTACGGACATAGGGGCAACGTTCGCAGTGTAGCATCATGTTGCCGCGGTCCAGGGAGTAGTAAGCATCGTATACAAGCGAGTTCGTAGGCACGCCCTTCTGAAGCCGCGATATCACTCACATCTAAGAGTAAATGAATTCAATTATTGAGTGTGTGTTCCTCGGAGTAATCGCTGACATTCAAGAATGCAGACCCACTGTTGCAGGCCAAGTTTGTGAAGATGTTTGCGTATCATATGCAGAGAAAACTTAGTAAATGTCCAGCGAGGAGGGGCTTACATAAACTAAGGTGGGTCAATATCAGTTCTCGTTCGTGAAGCGCTTTTACCCTTCACGCATGACGCGTGGACAAAAAACAAGGTACTGCTTCATTGCTCAGTGTCTCGTCCCAAAGGCTAGAAAGAAGAAAATGAGAAAATTTAATAGGGAAAATTCTCTTGCTTTCCTAAAGCTGATATTTTAAGTGGGTGAACGAATTCATTGCGTTGATCAAGAATCACAACAATAAACCATTGCTGATGCTGAAGGTTAAACAGTTTTTCAACGGATTGAGGGTAGCAAGAAGACAGGTGAGATGGCTTTGACTCTGATCAAGGGGATTCCTTTTAGAAACTTGGTTTCGCAGATGCCGCTAGCTTTGCTCAGCAGTTCCCCGAAATATCGCACTTCTTGGTAGCGGGTGAGTTGAGTCCTACAAGAAATCTTTGTTCCTTGGCGCAGTGTTGGGCTTGGCGCCTAACATTTTAACACTTATAAATGATTTAGCGCCTGCTGTACAAGAGCTCCGGAAGTTTGCGGACAAATTACCTGACAACAGTACGGCTTACAACGTTGGTTCCTTCTAATGCTCGATCTGATGAACTAATCTTATGAGTAAAAAAAACTATTCGTTAATAGGGCTAAAATGTGAAAACATTGGTAGTTTTCATCTGTCTACAGAATTATTCTCTTTGGACAAAGGGGGGTTTCTACGACAACGTTGGCGAAGCGGACCGCGACGGCTGCTTCGTGCCGTGCATGCTGCTTCAGCGCTCTCTGACACTCTCGATTCTGCGCTCCCCATGCCGGCGCGCTTATCTACGCACTCTCCCGTCTGGACTCTCGCCGATCGATGATTTCTGACGCGCTGACTTCTGCTAGATCCAGCTTCCAAAGGTTGAATTGTTCTTCGCCCGGCTCCAATAAGAGAAAGTAAATGTTCTGCTCAAACTGATCATTGTGCGTGCTTCCGGTCACTCACATTGAAATTAAATAGAGACACTCAAGAAAGACCAAAAAAAGGCGGAAATAGTGAGAAGGAACCAATTTTCAATTATAATATCATGCTGAGTTTATGTGAAATAAAGATTAGCCATCAGCTGAAACATATATCACCCTCCCCTGCTATATCAGCGCGACTAAGAATAAGTTCAAGCCCTTCAGAAGCCAGACAGACAGAAATCAGCTGATCTGCGCACATTAATCGATCGCACTGTGGTGGCGAGAGTCCAGAGGGAAGAGCGAGTAGATAGCGCGCCGGCGTGTGTATCAGAACAGAGTCGTTGACAGAGTGCGCGGATGATTTCTCCGGAAATCGGGTCATTCCACCGACACGAAGCTGTCGGACTCCCCCCCCTTAACCGGCCTTAGTAACTCCTCTTCGTCCAAAGAGTAATAGACTGTAACTGACTGGTCACGTCACCTGAACCCTAAACACCTCACGCCCAGGGAACCAGTTGATTTCTACGTTGCTGTATCATCCGGATTAATTTGACTTATGAGAACTGGAGTCCGCGTCTTGCTCGCGCGAAGTTCGGCCGACCGCTTTCAGGAGGTTAGATGTTTCTTAGGACTTATTTCTTATTTCTGCGATCGCGCGTTGTCACGGGCTTTACGTTGTCATAGTCTGGCTTTTTCGCCCGAGCGAATTTGATGGTGAGTACGGGCTGGCCTTTAGTTGTTTTCTTTTATTTTGTTTGGCACATTTTATTGTTGATTAGTCTAGCTCGAACTTGTGCCGGCACTGCCTGGACGTTTGTTGTTCGCCCTCACTTATGTATCGCCAGTCGTTACCGCGCTCTTATCTTCATAACTGGTAGTGGGGCCGTCCGGCTCAGGGTCTTTTGGCCGTTTAACTTCCCTTTTCCGTCATTTTCCCGTCTGTATAGCACTTCCCCCTGCTACTATTTCTGAGCAATCCGAACTGTCGTGCCTTATGCCTTTAACCCACAGGTTACCCTTTGGTGAAACCTGTGGGTTGAAGGCACAAGGCAACGGCAGTAAGCGGCGTTACGCGCCGCACTACTATAGCATGTCGAGTCAACTAGAAAGTGCTAGCTAGTTTGTACAATCTCCCAGCATGCAGTTCTCTGACCTGATGCATTATGATCATAATATGCAGTTGATAACGTCGTAATATGGAGGGGCAGTGGCAGAAGGCGTGGGTTGATCTCAAACGCGACTACGTTTTTCACTATTGGCGGCCGCTCCAGGTGAAAGCAACCAATGGCGAAAGGCTTTAGGTACGCTGATTCTACGCCCCTTGACATCTCTCGGCCAGACTGTGACGATAAACTGTACTGTACACTGCCTTGACATATGCTGTTCTTTGGATGCAGTTCGGCTTGGTAAGGGCATTTTGCTGGTTCCCACAATCACCTCCATCCCTCCTGTTAGGACCTGTGAATTCCTATAGAGCTTCGTTTGCAACTTGACCAGAGCCTACGAATCCCACCAAGATGCGAAGGGCAATTCAACAGGAGCTAGCAAAATGAACTAGCGAGAATGCAAAATGCCCCTCCCAAGTCGAACAGCGCCGTTTTTTGCTTCGCTTTACTTTTACTTGTTATACAATAATCTGCTCTTTTCAGGATCCCAAGAATGTTGGCCAGTTCATGAAATTACTCAAAGGAGCTCTACTGGTGTAAACAGTAATTGCGCTACTTCTCTTGAATAAATTCTAATAAAAGCACTCATCGGATGAGATAGTGATTTATGATGACGCTATTTATATTTCGAACTTATTTTTATGTACACTTCTATTCATATCTTGTTTTCGAGTTGGGCATCGTTTCGTTCAGGAGGGGCATTTTGTACTATCTCTAGTTCCCTTCCCTATTTCCCGTTGAAGTACCATCACATCAGGTGTAAAGAAGCTCTTGGTATTCCACAGTTTCACAAGGATTCACAAGTAACCACAAGAGGCGTCAGCAGTGATCGATGGGAACTAGCTAAATGCCCCAGCAAGCCGAACTTCGGTTGTGGCTGCGTTCACACTTTGTGGTAGCAACAGCGACCAATAGCGTCCACCAGCGTTAGAGCGTCCGGGAGCGTCGGCGACTAGGAAAGTGCGGATATCGATCTAAGTGTCCACCAGATTCTCGAAGGCTAGGGAAGTATAGATATCAGTCTAGCGTCTACCAGCGTCCACCAGCGTTCACAGCGTCCGGGAGTGGACAGTGTTGTGTGATTAGCGAGGGTAGCAGGCAGCTGGATAGAATGCATGGGGGATAGCTCTGAGGAATAGCCTACTAGTGGCTACAGAGTACCTTCACCTCTCGATTCCCTTTTTGCTTTGCTTCAGACAAAAAATGTGGGCAAAAATTATCAAAACCGTGAGAGCTGTTCACTACTGCAGTGAACTACTGGTTTGAACGCTGACCGGTGCCAAGCCTTGTATATGATGGCACAAACTGCTGTCACGAGTTCCCTAGAGGACCCCAATGCATGGCGTATCTCTCCCAGAGGAAGTGTGTGACAATCGCTTCCCTAGCCATTCCAAGGAATCGAAACCCTTTGAGATCTCATGAGCCAAGCGCTGGTTCAAGAAAAAATTTCCCATTAGTTCCCTTGAAAACCCACTTCGGATCCTTTTGATGTCGCCGTTACCTTGGATCATCCTCACTGCTCGAATCTCTATTCAAACGTTCTCGAGCGCTCTTCGCCTTGGGAGGGGCATTTCGCACTCTAGCTAGTCCAGATGAATCAGCAGGTTACACTTTAATGAGGCCTGTAAGCACCTGTGAATTACCAAATGGTAAAAGTGAGCAGTTCGATTACAGGCCCACACAAGGTGGAATAAGCTAGCTTTGCTGAGACCCCAGCAAACTGAGCTGAGCCCGTTTTTAAAAAATATGCCATTCAGCTGCCACAAAAAAATAATAAAAAGTAAACAGGAAAAAGAAGTCGCTAAACGAACGCTAAACACGCTCTGCACTGTCACTAGAATTATTCGATTCACATTCAATAACAATAATAATTATTCATTTTCATGGTGAAAAAGACCGTTGTGAAGCAAAGGCAAGACAAAAAAGGCAGAAACAAACGTTATATCACATGAGAAACACGACCTTGTCTGACCACCGATAGCCAAATGCAGGTGGCAATCGGCAACTGATCGATCGATCCCATTCGTTGAAAACCTATGCATTTGTATAACCTGAAC